CATTATGTTATTGATGGCTCTGCAATTCACGAACATTCTTCAGGTTCCATCTTTCTTTGGCACAAGTAGCACTGAAATGATACATGGACTTATGTTCTATTTTACATATCCCTTTCTCATCAGTTCATTCACTTGGCTGTGATGCTCGTTTGTCTTCTCAGGGTTACTTCGGTAAGCTAGTTGATTAGGAATGACAGCCTCAAGTATGAAGTCAATTTGGTGCTCAATGTCTCAAATTGGTGACAATCCACTAGGCACGTCCTCCGGGAATACGTCTTCGAATACCTACAACAAATTTTTAGCCAAACTAAGAAGGGGTGGGTTAGATTCCTTAGGATTAAAGAATGACTCTTTATAGACCAACAAAATCACTTGTTACCTCTCGACTATCGCTCTTTTCAACTCATTCCCTTTCGCAAAGAAATTCACTTTTGTCTTTTCTCTTCTCTCAGAAGACTCTTTTTCTTTCCTCTCATGTGGCTCTACTTTCTTTATCTCTCTACCAGCCACCTCACTATTTTCTTTCTTATTTGCCACCTTACTTTTTTTCCCTCTTGCTCACTGCCTCATTGTTTTCTCTTTTTTTCTCTAACTCTTTCAATCTCCCCTCGTCCTCATTTTTCAATTTAATTTGATTTTCATACACTTGTGCTGGTGTTAAGAGCGCAATAATAATAGGCTTTCCATCATTGACAAAGTTGTAACGATTTTTGTACTCGTCATGAATGACTTTTCTATCATATTGCCATGATATCCCCAATACAATATGACTCATATGCATAGTTACTACATCACACATAACTTCATCATGATAGCTACCAATTGAAAAATTTATCAACACCCTTTCATTAATTTTAACTTCTCCACATTCATTTAACCACTGCAGCCTATAAGGTTTATGGTGTTTTAAGAGAGTTAGTTTCAATTTTTTCGTTAGCGTCGTGCTAGCTACATTTGTACAACTATCGCCATCAATGATTATGCTACATACCTTATTGTTAATGTGGCATCGCGTCTAAGATATATTTTCTCGCTGCTATTCCAAGTCATCCACCTTAATTTGAGCGTTAAGGGCTCACCTCATGACTAATAGCTCTCCAACAGCATACTCCAATTTTTTTCCATCACTAGCCTCCTCGAATACCGACATGTCCTCATAATCACTTTCACTCTCACTCACCACTTTTCCATTGTCCTGCATAATCATCGCCCTCTTGTTTGGACATTTAGAAGCGATGTGCCCTGTTCCCAAACACCTAAAGCATTTAATGCCCCGACTCTTTAATGGTTATGGTTCCGCTTTGGGTGTGATCTTGCTAGCACTTCCTTCTTTTTTCCTTGGCATTTCAGTTCTTTCTTTAGAGATAGCCTTTTCTCCTTTGTTGTTTTCCCTCTTCAATTTCCAAGATGGATTAGAACCCGAGAGAACCGACTGTCCCCTTCCTCTTCAATTGTCTTTCTACCTTCATGACCACATGTAGCATATCTCCTAACTCCACATAATGCTAAAACTCCACTACATTGGCAATATCCCTATTCAAACTATTCAAAAACCTAGCCATTGTGGCTTTTCGATCCTCCTCCACATTCGTCCTAATCATCGACATATCCATCTCCTTATGGTAGTCCTCTACACTCCTAGACCCTTGGTATAAACTTTGTAATTTTTTATGAGTTCTAGGTTATAGTAACTAGGCAAGAATCTCTACCTCATAATCGCCTTCAAGTCATCCAATGTATTGATAGGTCATTCCCAATTCCTCCGCCTCGATGTAATCACTTGATCCCACGAAGTTATGGCATAATCGATGAATTCAAGAATGGCTATTTTCAACTTCTTTTCCTCTAAGTAATTATGGCAATTAAAAATTAACTCTACCTTCTTCTCCCACTCTAAGTAAGCCTCTTAATCACTTCTTCCCTTGAGCAATGGAATTGACATTTTGTTATTGCCCATACTTCTATCTACGTCATCTCCAGTATTATTCCTACCTCTCATTCCATATCTAGCTCCTATATTTTCTAACCTTCCCATTTCAGCCTCGACTATAACATCTTCATCTATGTCACTAGCATCTCCAAACTCTTCACCTACTTCCATCCTAGGCTTCCATCTACCCCATCTCCTAGCATTGGGTGCTTCTACTCGCCACCCTCAGTGAAGATCAATAATCGTTGTGTCGAGCCTATCCAACCTGTCTCTTGAATCTTCAAAAAATCTTTCAAATTGCCATACTACCTCTTCCAACATATTGAACTTATTGTTGTTCATGCTTGAAGTTGAATCCTCCCTATCAGACATCCTATAGCTATAAGATTTTCTGCCTAACTTAATTCGCTCATGTATCACTAAATGTGGCTTTTACCCTCTAATAATCTCACCACTCTACATTTTTCCACTCAACGCTTTCATCTAGATGCTTCAAAGAACAAATTGAACTAAACCCAAAATTATTCTTGTGGATTCCAAATCGGAGGTGAGTGAGAATTGTGACCTTAAAGGACTCGAAAGAAAACTTTGGATGAAATTTCGAATGAAAACTAAGGAAATTTCAAAAAGTGATTGAAATAAAAATGACGAAAATAAATCGACCCAACAATGATGTAAACTGGTGGCAACTCCCCAATAAATCAACAATAATATTTATTCTTTTGAATTCGACCTTTTTCAATTTTTTTTATGGAAATTCGACTACAATACCAGCAAAACAAATAAAAGTTGATTTGAATGCTAAATTAGCTCTAAACAACTTTTGAAACTTTGACGGGAATTTACGGATCAAAACTCAAGAACACAAAGAACTCGAAAACTAAGGACGATAAAAAACAAAAGACTCAACGAGCAAAAATAAAAGACATAACCTTGATTATTTTGAAAGCCTAAGCTCTGATACCAACTGATGTTAAATTGTATAGCAACGATGGCTATAAAACTCACAACGAGATTGTTTAACCCAAAAAAACCAAAAATAACGCCGATTTTGGATTTGCACCAAGAACAATGAATTAAGCAACCAACTTAATCAATGAATTTGTTGACATCTTGATTACACAACAAGACTCTCATCCGGTGTTGAATGCTGCAAGAATTCACTCTTGATAAATTCAAAGATTTGTTTAATAAAGAACGAGATTGAAAGCAAAATTATGCCTCTCTATTGAATTCAGAATATCAAAGTTGTTTTACAATTAAAGTAGTAATTCCTATTCATACTAAACCTAAAAATATGGTTAAAAACAAAAACAACATCTAGAATATCATAAAATATCTTCCCAAATAAAATTCTATGGAAACATGGAGTCTCGTTGAAAAAGAAAATTTCTGACTCGCATCTAAACCATGCGACTACAATGCGTAATTTTGTGTGGTCGCATAGACCAGCTGCCAAGTCCTCAACTTCTGTTGCTTGTATCATGTTGATTCGAATGGTTTTGACTCTTGACCCCAACATGAAATTTGCTTCTTTTTTCACCAAGATCAATGTTTAATTGCTGATTGCACAAATAATCACATCGCCTGATTGACCCGCTTTGCTCTTGAAAATGTCATTGGACATCTTCGATAATCAACTGATCTTTTTTTCGAGCTTGTCTTCGTTGGGCACAACTCTTGGATCACATCAAAACCCCTTACAGTTATTTATCAATATTCAAATGCATATATCAACATCATAACATCATTAAAATCACTCAATAAAAGCATCAAACTTCAAGTGAATATTTGGAGAACCTATCATTCGTAGAATTCAACTTGAAGATATATACACACAACATTCTTGTGAAGTTTGTAATTACAATTTTCTAACAACACTTAATTCATACTACATTTACATATCACAAGTAAACTAGAGCATTTATGTGCCTAATTCAATACTGCTACCATATGAAAATGTGAAATCGAAGTGCATAGACTCTAATTGATGGTGTGAAGAAATCATTGGTTTCGTCCATCTCGATCTGGTAAGTGTGGGTACAAGTGTAGTACTACCTGAAAATTTATACAATCCAGTCATTCATACCCAAACAAGAAATAAAATGGATGATGCACTTTGTACATTTAATGTTTACCTGCATATTTACCTCGGCCATTGAAGTAAACATGATTGCCAAAAAAGGCATAAATTTTTTTTATGTGAATGCAAGACTTTTGTTGTCACTCTACATGAATGAAAAAAAAAATTAATTTTCTCATCGAGATAACTTAATCATATATGTATACAAACCATTAGGAGTTGTGAATTTGTTAACGGTGTAATCATGCAATGTTGTAACTGTTGAGGTGCTTAAATGATGTGTACACCATCACTAAGATTACTAGGTCGTGCCTTTGGCCTCTTTCCTTTAGATGTTCTCAAAACTCCCTTGCATGACATCTCAACTAGTTAGATATATTAAGTAAGCAAGCAACCCATACACAATTGGTAATATAAACGTGAAATATACTTTTACTTTATTCAAACTAGATTCCAATGGTTCTTCTTACGAAGTTTCTTCGGCGCGCCGGTTCTTTTTTCACATTTAGGATCACGTAATCCATTGTTGACAATTTCTTGTGATGGTCCACATTATGATGCTATCAATGTAATTTGCGGAGACATGACACTACTCAAAACATTGGACTTCGATGTCGTTATCAATATACATTCATGTTCAATCCATTTTTGTATGTTCTAGCTCTGCTTTCATCATCTAGGTCTACCAACATAGTGAAAGACTGACACAATTTTATGGTACGTCAACTGTCTCGGAGTACTAATCAACCCATCATAGTTAACTGGGACCCTCGTGTGGGCTGTACTTAGATCTCTCTGCCACCTCCAAAATATATACCTATCTGGTAGTTATTTAATGCCATTATGGATCAATACTGCGATCATGAGTGCTGGCATATTATTCATCGAAAATCGAATAAATGGTAACCGCAAACAATTTCACAATCGTATCTCTAAAAACAGACGAAGAACGTGTTTTTCTTTGATTGCTCATCGTTTATCTCTTCCTCACGTCTCATATGCCGTCTCCAAACTTCTCTTAGAAGAATATATTAGATCACAATAAAGCTTCCTAGTGAACTCTTCTTGAACTTCTCTAAACTTTGAAATGGTATAAACAGTTTGAAATTGCTTCTCCATTTCATACCTCATTATATGCAGTACCATTTGTGAAAAAGATTTGAAATATGCTTGAATCTCTTTCTCAACTTTATTCATCAAAGCTCGTTCGTATTGTTCAACAAATTGCTTTAATGAGGTCTTCGAATACGTATACCCATCAAAGAACACATTCATATTCTCATTGCATTGAGTTGTCGACATTCCTGCCTAAAAAGCAGTTTTGAAATAGCACGGAACCCAACGACATCTGTTTTCATACAATCTCGACAACCAGGCATTACCATGCAAATTATATATATCGAGCATTACCTTCCAACCCTCTTCAAAATATTGAACAAATTGTTTGTAAACCAAACCATGTATAGTATAGAAAATCGAACCCTTATCATCACAGTATTCAAACTTTTTTTGTAACTTTTTCAGTATGTTCTACAAGCATCATCTATGCTACGTATAGAGGAACACGATTTTAATTGCATTCTACATAATTTGTCTTGATCGGTAATTATACCCTGGGAAGCTAGGCAATGTATACACTATAGTCATGTCCTAAACATATAGACAAATGTATCTGTATCATCATTTGATACCAACCCACATCCGAGCAGTATCGATTGTCCATGATAATTAATTCTAACAAAAACGCAAACGACATGTCTACTCTTATAAGCATGTCTACTCCTATGATTTACCTAGAACACATTTTTTAGCCACGACTCTTCATCCAGTTCCATACTTGTAAAGTAAAGTCGGGTACAACTAGCTTCCATTTTCAAAAAGTAGTATTGTATTGCGACGGCATCTCCTTCTTCAAGTCTTAGACGCTAAAATTGTTCAACACAGTTTCGACAATCCTTTTCCACGCACATCATATTTTCATATCTACCTACTTTGATTACTACAAAGTAGAAACTTTTCTTTAATAGAATTCCTATCATATCCTTAACTTCTAGCCGTGATTTAGCATGTGTGCTCAACTCTCAATTGTATCGATAAAGCCTCCACTTTGGTAGACTAGATTAAGGATTATGCTCAAGGTTTACGGTGTTAATTCTTCACATTCCAGGACTATTTATTGATGAAGTAAGCCTTGCTTTACAACATATTTGAATGGTTCATTGTGGCTTCAAAGGTCTGCTTATGGTATTATTTCTTTTCCCTTCACAATTACATGTCAATGTGACATATCTTGTATTACCGTTGTCGTGCTTTTTCAAGTTGCTCTTCCTAAATGGAAAATTTTCGATGTATGTATATTTTTTGTAATTGACCTCAAGCACAAGTAAAGTCACACCATTATCGACTACGATTTCATCATCCAATAAGTTCACATTCTGTACAACATTCTCAAACTCAGATTCTATCAAAATAAAATCATGCACATCATTGAAAATATCTTTTCCTGCTGCATAAAATTAGTTACAGTGTTAAGCTAATGTGGTAAAGTAATCTCTAATTTCTTGATAGAACATACTCATTCCAAGCTATATAAAACATTTCAACCTCGGTCAATAAGTGATGGGTATGAAACTATTTCTAAGCATAAAAAACATGAGATAACCTTTTTGAAGTGGTAAATCAAAATCAAAATCTATTGCAAAAAATTTTACTTATGCATCTATAGTCTAAAAGGAAAAAAGGCAACATTTATATTCTCAAGTTTTATGCATCTTCACACAAACGAAGCAAGAGCCTATTGAGCATGACGGGTATATTAATATGTCAATAATCGGAGTAATCTACTCTATGATCACAAAGGGAGAAAAAGTTCAAATTTTCTTTAGAATGAGGTGGAAACATTAACACATTATGTTTTGAACATAATCAGTAACTCCCATTACCTTTGTTTGAAAAAAATAATATATATATATATACATACATATACATATATATATATACATACATATACATATATATATATATATATAGGTCATGTGGAAATGTGGATGTGGAATGACACCACGGGAAAGGTCAATTGCAACTTAATTTCAATGTAATCATAGCTTCTGGGAGTTTCAATCTTTATCCAATGTGTTACCAGAGTCAAAGGGAAGCACTGAAACAGATAGGTTGATCGATTGCTAAGGAAAAATTTTGGGAAAAAATTAGGGAAGAGATTGTATTTGCCACTTGTGTATCCAAATTTTGGATCTACATTTTATTTACTTTTTACAAGGAAAAAATATCATGTAAATCTCATTATATAGCACAAGGTAAAAGTGAGGGATAAGCACTTGTGTGATGGTAAGGTTTTCTCTTTGAATATAAAGGCAGAGGGTTGAGATCTGTTGTCCATTTATGCTGTTTAATTTGTTATCCGTCTAATTACGAATTAACACATCATTAAAAATTAAAATTCATTTTAAAGTTGAAAAATTAAAATTGATGACAACTTTAGAGTTTGTTTAGCCCCCTCCCCCCCGCCCCCTCCAATTTCTCCAAATTTTTGCTTCCATCCGTGGGCCCCAGTAAGAAGATATTAAATATTTCTGACACATTCTTCGTGCAATTTGCCAGCAGCCATTGAATTCAACCTCACCTAATTTTCCTTTTCCCACAAATGCCCTTGAAGACGAGTCAACAATTTCGGCCACATGGTGCAATGTCTTCAACACGTATTGCTTTCCGCAAATTGATAGGATAATTCTACAATCGGAAAACGATAATTTTATTAATACGAAAAGAAACTTTAATACATAAAACAAAAATCTTGGCAGACAACTTCTAATTGTCGATGACAACGTCCCCATCACAACACTTGACACAACAACATTATGCGAACGGGTTACACAAAAAAGAAAATGCACGCAATAGAAAATTTTATTCTCTTCCCCATCGCACGTAGCGCCTGTGCCATGTAATCACGCAGCTATTACCACGACATGTCCTTTGTGTCTATTGCATCTAGTTCGACAACAATGTCATCCTGTTCATTGGGAAGGTCGATCTCGACTTTGTCATCGTCCATTTCTTCAGCTCTATGGAAACCCTCGTCGAGCCGATCGTTTCTTTTAAAGAAGTTACGAATTTCCATTGAGGCCATGACCACAACAGTTTGCACTCTCATACTATAAGTTTACATTTGATCTAGAATCTTCCATCTCTGTTTTCAAACACCGAACATCCACTCGATAACATTCCGACATGAAGAGTGGTGGAAATTAAATCGCTCACGTGCATTATGAAAATGACGCCGTTGTCCGCTCGCTAAGCTCCCGAACTCTTGGAAATGATATCTAATTTCAAAGTCCTTATATCGTGCCATATACGCAGGCTTGTGTGCGAACCCCAAGTCCACAAAGAAATATTTTCCGCTCGTTGGTTGCGAGAAATTTATTTCCGCACTATGCACAGCTCGAGCTAATATGTAAATGTCGTACGTGTTCCCTGTTGTCCCTGGCAACACGAACCTAAAGCATAGGTTAAAATCACAGGCAGCTAAGACGTTCTTCGTCAGAATAATCTTTCTTCCTATGAAATTCTTCCTCATGTTAGTCAACAACATAGCTCTGACATGCATCTTGTCATTACACCAATGCAGTCTTGCAATTTCACCATCACAAACAGCAATTTCATACTTTACGTCACCGTCGCAACAGTAACCAAGCTTAAGTTTCGTGTATGACTATCGCAAACTTGGAATAGAGGGTAGCGCTTCGGCTCAGGCCGATGCTGGGCAGCACCTCCGTTGTCTGGCGGATCTAGTTTTACCATTGTAACAGCGAATGTCAAGTATGCACGCAACACCGTATTAAAATAGTGTGCTATGGTCTGCAACGAGTGACCGGACAGAGTTTGCACTTGTCAATATCCTTTTTTATGTGCAAGAACGCAAAATAACATTCCCACCTACTCATAAACATCGATATTCATGCTGTTCGATATGTCTTACTGGTCTTGAAGAATGTGCATGAACATCAGCGGATACATCCTGAATTCTTGAAAACGTGTTTGCAAATAGACATGCATATTCTGCAATATGAAAATGTAGCCACACTGCGCTACAGATATACATGCATATTTTGTGCCCAAGTCAAAACCACGCTGCGACAGCTTCAATGGGGACAACGCGTACTTAGTTGAGTCACCGGTGTTGCCGAACAGTTTTTCATATGTGTCATAAATCTCGCTGCAGTCCATGTGCTTGTACTTCGTATATTTCAGATTCACCTATTTCCATACAAGAAGGAAAGAAAAGGGATTTTACATAACAATTTCAAGAATACGAATAAACGAACGCAGCAACATGACGAAGTGCACTCAAATTGAGACGTCATTTATCATTAATCACATGCATATAATGGAGAACAATTTTTAAAAACTAAATAGAATGAAGACTTCACTTACTTCAAGAGGTAATTACATTAATACCGAAAAGTTGTTAGGGCAAGCTTCAACAGTGTTTGAAATTTGTAGATAGGTGAATTTTTTTAGCTAAATTCATTTATAGGATCCAAAGTAGAAACAAATGTAAAACTTATTACGATATGTGCATATTCTATTTACTTACAATTGGGTATCATTGCTCTCATGATGCAAATGATATAACAAACTGACCAATAATAATAACAATACCAATAATAAAATACTATTGATAAGGGAATGTTCACAAAAGGGTAAATGGGTACAAAATCATCAACTTATTTGTGAAAGAAAATCCTAATTTGATATGAAAAGCTAGTACTTAGCATGTGTTGTGTATACAACATGAGTCTAAATATTTGAAACAAGAACAGTTGTGTGGGCAAGTTTAAATTCTACACAGCATAAGATACCTTAATTTTGGATTTCCACGAATGCTCGAGGGCGAAGATTGTATTGGTGACCGAGAGGTACTCAATTCCCGTGCATCATAGCTGCTTGAACAGGTGTTTGTGCTGCTCCCGTAGTTTTCTTCAGTAGTTTTTCATTTGTGATGTGGTCAATTTCTTTCATGCCAACTTGTTGAAGATCTCTATGATACACTGCCACCCTTTTGTGGAGAAGCGCTTGCCTCGTCGGTGGCCTTCTGTAATCACAACTTCACATGTTGCGATGAACACCCTGCACTCTGGAGAGTTCCATTTGGCAGACATTCGCATCGCTGGCTGAGGCTCTTGCAGGTCTAATGCAGCAAAGTGCATCAGGTGGGCGTCGACAATGGTGCCGTGCAGTAGGGCAAAAAATGTATTACAAAAAAGTGTAGGGACAATTGAACAGATAGAAGACAACATAGTAGTAGGCGAAGGGTCAAGGGAAAATAAGTCTATGTCACTGCAACATGCACTAATCCTGTCATCTTACAAAGCCGTGGGGAACGGTGTTTAATTTTGGATGACACGGTAGTGGGAAAAATGGCACGGTATGATCTTATTGACATTTTTTAGTTGGCATGCTACGTAGAAGTGTACATTGAGCACAAAAATGAGAAACACATCAACCAAAAAATGGGGTTACATGATGTTGCATCCAACATTCTATCATATACTTACAATTCAATTTCTTGAAATCAGTAGCACAACTAAGCTTCGGAATTTCTAGACGTGAAATTCACATTCAGGTGTTGAGGGTCACATGTGGAATGGAAGCAATTTACAATTGGGGAAATAGGGAAAAAAACAATTTCTTCTCGTGCCCAACAGATATGCGATGATCTACAGAAGCGGGAAGAATGACGAATGTTACCAAGTATTCGAGATAAGAGCCCCACTGTTGGCCATAGTTGTCCATTGTCGCCAGTGACTTTGTGGTGCAAGAGAGAATTTGGAAGGAGCTAAAAATGCCAATCTTACTGGAGGTGATGCGTTGACGGGACGGAGAAGCTAGACTCCAGTGGTTGTGGAAGAGATTAATTCCTCCCGGTTGGACACTGCGGACGATGCCGGTAGGGTGGTCAGACCACTGTTGGTTGGAAATACTGCAAGAAAAATAGGCGTGCTGTCTCCTAGTGGAAGAGCTCAAATCCCACTAGTACGTTGTTGGACTTAAAAGCTATGGTGGTCAGAGGAGCAGTGAAAATGGTAGGTAGAGAGATCCGGTTGATAAAGAGGCAGTACCATAGGGTGGGTCGATTGGGAAAGGTACCAATGAAGGGAAATTATTTGGTAACCAAGTGCAAGACAAGGGCAAAATGGGAAAGCAAGACTCAACGGCATTGTGCACAAGTCTCTGGCAGGCCACTTTGAAGGTTGTCTCGTGCTGTCCAATCCGCACTGTAGGAAAATGAGAATTGGGCCAAAAAAAAGCTCATTAAAATGAGCATCAAACAGGGGCTTAATTTTTTATGATATGTAAATTTGCAATTGGGTGGATAAGAAATTGGATAGCAAAAAATGGACGGTAGATTTCAACTTAAAGTTAGAAATCCCACTAGTACGTTGTTGGACTTAAAAGCTATGGTGGTCAGAGGAGCAGTGAAAATGGTAGGTAGAGAGATCCGGTTGATAGAGAGGCAGTACCATAGGGTGGGTCGATTGGGAAACGTACCAATGAAGGGAAATTATTTGGCAACCAAGTGCAAGACAAGGGCAAAATGGGAAAGCAAGACTCAACGGCATTGTGCACAAGTCTCTGGCAGGCCACTTTGAAGGTTGTCTCGTGCTGTCCAATCCGCACTGTAGGCAAATGAGAATTGGGCCAAAAAAAGCTCATTAAAATGAGCATCAAACAGGGGCTTAATTTTTTATGATATGTAAATTTGCAATTGGGTGAATAAGAAATTGGATAGCAAAAAATGGACGGTAGATTTCAACTTAAAGTTAGATTCTCCCAAACTATTGTTCTTATTCTTCTATTTTTATTTTATTATTTTTGTCCTTTTTTTTTTTTTTTTATAAGTTCAAATGCAGTTTATTTAACCACGAGCTTTTAAATTCGTGGGCATTAAAAGGTTGACATAAACGTTTCACCAACGTCAAGAGATTTGAAATGTTAAGCCCGCACATAGCTAATTGTAGTAATAAAAAAAATAAAGCCCTGGACGGGTAACATTACTCTTCAATTTTTATTTAAACTATATATATTTTTTATATTAATCGTCAATCAATTAAAATATGATTGAATAATTCAAGTAATAAAATATTGAAACATGTAACTTATTAAATAAGAATAGTGATAAATTTGACCCTCTAAATTTCTATTTTAAAAAGCTATATAAAAATAATAATAATAATAATAATAATAATAATAACAAATTACTATTATTTTACTTAATTTGATAATAAAATTTTATTAACCTTGATTAACGGTGCATATGATTATTTTGTTTTAGTTTATTTTAGTGACTAAGGTGAATATGAATATTATCTTTAAGGATAATATCGTCATTGTAAACACTATAATACTACCTGATATTTTCATACCAAACAAAAATAAACATTCTTATTGAATAAAAAACTCTTTTAAAAATTAATTTCCGAATAGTAATTGATTTATCCCCTGTTTGGTTCGATTAAAAAAGTCAATTAAAATTTAAGTCAAAATCAACAATTAATTTTAATCACATATTTCATAGTACTTACAACTTTTTAATCATACATTCCATCAACTTTTATCAAAATTAACTGAAAATCTAATTTTTATCTGAACCAATCAATCTATTTAATAAATTGAATGAATTAAAAATATCTCTACTCCGGAGTTTATAATACAAAATTAGGGCCTATTTGATACAAGAACTTTTCCATGGATTTTCCACCCCTTTTTCCTTGATTTTGTGGGTGGGAAATCAATTTCCAAAATATATTATTTTTATTTTTATTTTTTTGGCAATGAAAACAAATTCTATCCTTTCAATTAACAATTTTTATGGAAAACAAAGTCAAACAAACACCAAAAGATTCAAAATTTCAACGTAAAAAATTATACCAATTAAACACATTTAATAGACAATTCCTAATAAAACAAGTTATGGGCAATTCAATTCCCTAGAATTCGTTTTCATTCCATCCAAATTCCATTTTGCAATCAAACGGACTTTAATGTAATATACAAAAGCAAAGATAGCCAGAGACCTCAATTTTGTCACCTCACCTCACGTACGTGCATCACATTCCAAGTCAAGAGCTTTCATTCAACTGATGCAAACTAAAACTAACAAATAGTACATACACAAGCCAGCAAATTGTTAAATCAACCGGTTACTTTGCGTTCGGCTTGCTCGAATTGACATCGTTATGGTCTATCAGCCACATTTTAGCGCAGGAGATAGAATATAAGCAAAACTTGTACAGTAGCTAGTTACACGACTCCAGAAGGAAGGCGTAAAACGAGCTGTCCTCCAAAAACACTGCACAGTGAAAGCTCCACTTACATAAATACATTACTAAGAGCAACTTCGACTGAGCTTATAAGAGTTTCCATAAAAGTAAATTTTTATTTGTCAGAGACAGAAATGAGTTACTTATTTTAGGAGTTCCGATCAAAATAAGTAATTTTTTAGTGAAGAGCATGAAAAAATTAAGTCATCCAATGATGTCTGGAAATAAGTAACTCTTTCCAGCTTAGACTAACACACTAAATTCACAACCACCACAAATAACAACAAAATACCAAAAGAATCTAGTCGAACCTTTTTACATAATAGTAACAAAAGTCTGCCAAGATGAAGGTTTGAACAATTTCCGATATAAGAACCATCGATGGCCACAACCCGTAACCCATTGCACTCAGCAAATGGCCACGACTGTCTATAACCTGACAAAAGCAAATGACAAATGTACAATAATAAAGTCGAATCTAGATTTTTCATCAATCTACAAACCCATGTTGGATTGTACTTGAAAGTACGATAGCTAATACTTTCTTAACTTCTTTTTCGTTTACAATTCTATTTAGCATTATCTAATTCACCTAACCAAACATGCCATGATTGCAAGGCTTTAACATGATTTTTGGATGACCAAATTCAATTTGTCAAAGACATAATTCAATTGCCTGTGCAAACCATTGGGAGATTAGAGACTTTCAGATCAACAGAAATCACTACAGACACTAGTGAAAAATAAACTGATAATGAAGCCATTCAGACTCATTTTTTTGATCCCTTTTGCCAAATCTGTAAAAATACTGTTGATTTTTAGGATCTTGAATGGGTAGTAAGACAAAAAAATAATACAGATAAGATCATATTTTTCTGCATTCTTCCAACATGAACAACCACTCCAACAACAGGGTCGTGCAAGATATGCTCAAGAATTTAAACATTTGTGCATCGAAAAATTCAGAGTCAAACCTGGAGAACCCAATGGGCACAACTCAAAAACCTTGCAACACCCAATGCAAATACGTAATGAGCTGTAAATGGTTCAACAATCTATAACAAAATTGATCAAAAAATGGTGTCAATGTATGAATCATGCTTGATCTAAGTTTAAAACATAACTCTGTATCGGGTGGGGGTATCGATTTTCTCCCTTTTTTTTCTTTTTTTTTTCTTTTTTTTTTTTCTTTTTTTTT